TTTTGACCTCATGGGTCCTCTGAAAGTTCTCAGAGATATTCCTTTCTCATCCCTCATTTCTGTGGACCACCCTTTGAGAAATATTATCCTAGAGTCTTGGGATCAGATGGCAGGACTACATTTAGGTGTGGAAAAGATCCCAGCCAAGTAAACGTTAGCAATTTCGCTTCTGGGGAAGCAACCTAAAACTATGTAATTCAAATCAACTATGTAATGCACAATGTGACTTGAGGCTGAGTTTTTTGCTTTAAAGGAATCACAATTATTTATCGGAATAATTAAACCTACATTTATTTAATTTAGCATAGACAAGCCACCACCACATTAATTGGAGCAAAGCGTAAAAATTTTCTCAATCATCAAAATTCCAATTAGAGCCAGTTGCTTCTTTTTTCTTTTTTTTTTTCAATTAAAGTATAATTGATATACAACGTTCCATTAGTTTTGAGCGTCCAACATGGTGATTTGACAACTGTGTTTCGCTGTGCTCACCATAAGTGTAGCTACCATCTGTCACCCTACAACGCTATTCTAGTCCCATTGACTATATTCCCTATGCTGTGCCTTTCATCCCTGTGACTTATTCATGCCATGACTGGAAGACTGTACCTCCCACCCCCCTTCAGCCATTTTTCCCATCCCCCCACCTCCCACCCCTCTGGCAACCATGGCTTGTTCCCTTTATTTATGGGTCTGTTTCTGGTTTTAGAGCAAGTTGGTTCTTTAAACTCACCTGTAAGTATCTAGAGACTTCTTCAAGTGTTTCCACTGCTCCAGAGCTCCCAAAGAGATGGTTGTAATCAACGAGGCTTATCACCCACTCCTTTATTGGTTCATGGTGCTGGGAATAGTGTTGAATAGACAGACAAGGCCCTTATTCTCCTGGTGCTCAGTCAACTAGGAGAGTGTTATGAATCACACAAACATGAATATGATCACAACTGCTTTAGGGTTTACAAAGAAGTACAGGGGGCTTTGAGGCAGGACGTGACCTGGCCTGGTGAAGACCTCTCTGAAGAAGTAAAATTCAGGTAAGGTCTGAAGCACGAGTTAGAATGGCCGGGTAGGGGCGCCTGGGTGGCTCAGTCGTTAAGCGTCTGCCTTCGGCTCAGGTCATGATCCCAGGGTCCTGGGATCGAGTCCCACATTGGGCTCCCTGCTCGGCGGGAAGCCTGCTTCTCCCTCTCCCACTCCCCCTGCTTGTGTTCCTGCTCTCGCTATCTCTCTCTGTCAAATAAATAAATAAAATCTTAAAAAAAAAAAAAAAAGAATGGCCGGGTAGAAGTGGGGTGTGGTTAGGGAGGAGGGTTCGAAGCATTGGCATGGGTGTTGTGCTTGCAGGCAGAGGCAGGAAAGGTCTGAGCATGTTTGAAGACCCACTGGGAGCTCCATTTTGACTGGACCCTGGTGGGAAGATAGCAGGAGGAGAGGATGGAATGGCAGCCAGAGGTCAGGGTGAGGGCCATCGGTGGTCCTTTTCTCAGTTCCTACAACCTACCCTGCTCCTTCCTGCCTCAGTCCTAGACCCATGCAGATCCCTCTGCCTGGAACACTCTTCCTCTCTCAGGTCCCAAAGGAAATGTCACCTCTTTTCTAAGGATAACTTTTTGTATTCTCCATATCAGCCCCTCCTTTTCTGTGTATAGCAGCTCTGTTTGTTTACATGGTGTTTGTCCATCTGCCCCACGAGACTGTCAGGTCCCCGTGTGCAGGCCTGTGCAGTCACGTCCACCCTGTATCTCCTGCGGGCTGGACATGCAGTTGGTGCTCAGAAGTATTTGTTGGCGGAATGTGTGAATGAACAAATGCACGCAGAGCTGGATTTGAGACTCTGGCTCCATCCTTTAACAGCTGTGTGACCTTGAACCATCACATAAACACATTAGATTGTTTCCTATTCTGTAAAATGGAGTTTTATTTCTTATCTCAGAGGGCTTTTGTGAGACTGAAATGAGGTAGTACACAGGAAGCACCTCGCTCCGAAGGAGCGTCTTACTCCCAGTTCTGTTCTCTTTTCACTGTTCCGGGATGTAGGATGAGTCTGGGGCCTTGCTCAACTCCATCTGGCTCTCCTGCCGTCCCATCAACCCTCCCACCCCCAGCTGCAACACAAACATCAGAGGGGCTTCCAGGCTCATGTGCTGGCAACAGAATTCAAGGAACAAGAGAGGAGGGAGCAATTGGTTCTGGTGGAGAGTGGGTGGTGGTGAAGATGCTGTTGAAAACGGACCAGACTGTGGGTAGTGGGATTAGGGTTAATTTCATCTTCTTTAATATACTTTTCTTTTTTCTTTTTTTTTTTTTTTGAGAGAAAGAGCGAGTGGTGGTGGGGAGGGGCAAAGGGAGAAGGAAAATCTTTCTTTTTTTTAGTTAATTAATTAATTTTTGCGAGAGAGAGAGAGAGAGAATGAGAACACACACATGAGCGGGGGAGGGGCAGAGGGAGAGAGAGAGAGAATCCCAAGCAGGCTCCATGCCCAGCACTGAGCCCCACATGCAGCTCTATCTCATGACCCTAAGATCATGACCTGAGCTGAAACCAAGAGTAGGATGCTTAACTGACTGAGACACCCAGGCACCCCTTTAATATACTTTTTTTTTTTTTTGCTTTTTTAGCTGTTTATTTGGAAATGATTGTAGATTCACAAGTTGTAAAAATTGAACATAGAGTTTCTTGAGCCCTCCGATGGTGACATAGCCGTAGTACGATCCCAAAACCAAGAAAGGCTTTTTGTTTTGAAATAATTTTAGGCCTTCAAAAAAGTTGCAAAATAGTACAAAGAGTGCATGTGTGCCCTTTGCTCCACATTCCCTAATGTTAACAATTTACAAAACCATAACACAATGATCAAAACTAGGAAATGAACATTGATGTATTATTTTAATTATAGACGTTATTTGAACTTCACCAGTTTTTCCACTAAACGATCTTTTTTTGTTCTTGGATACAATCCAGGATCCCACATTGTGTTTAGCTGTCATACATTTCCTTAATATCCTCTGATTTTTGGCAATTCCTCCGTCTTTCCTTAGGACCACCGATGGCCCTCACCCTGACCTCTGACCTCACCCACCTCATGACCTTGACATTTTTTATCAGTCATTTTGTATAATGTCTCACAATTTGGGCCTATCTGATGTTTTCTCATGACTACATTGAGATTATGCAGTTCTGGAAAGAAAACCGCAGAAATGATGTTATAGTCTTTTCACTGCTTCAAGTCAAGGGTACCTGATATTGATATATGTCCTACTAATGATGAGTGCGTCTTAACCATTTGATTAAAGTGTCGTCTACTGGGTTTCTCCACTGTACACTTTTCTTCATCTTTTTCTTTTCTTTTTTTAAAAGATTTTATTTTTCAGTAATCACTCTACCCAACATGGGGCTCAAACTAACAACCCTGAGATCAAGAGTTGCATGCTCCACTAACTGAGCCAGCCAGGCTCCGCCTATATTTTTCTTTTCATTAATTTTTCTTTTAATTACTAAAGCAATAAATGCTTCTAAATATTTTTTTTTTTTATTTGAGACAGAGAGAATGAGAGAGAGAGAGCACATGAGAGGGGGGAGGGTCAGAGGCAGAAGCAGGCTCCCTGCCGAGCAGGGAGCCCGATGCGGGACTCGATCCCGGGACTCCAGGATCATGACCTGAGCCGAAGGCAGTCGCTTAACCAACTGAGCCACCCAGGCGCCCGCAATAAATGCTTCTAAAAAGTTCAAACAAAGGAAGCATAAATAGGTAAACTTCCCAACAAACCCATCTCACCTTCCCAAAGGTTACTTATCATTGTCTACTCTTGAAGCTATATCCTTCTAGATCACTTTCTAGATGTCATATACACACATATAATGGGGACACGCAGATTTTTAAAATTGTGTTTTACTTGACAATATTATCCAGGGACAACTTTCAACATCAGTGCAATCAGATATAACTCATTCTTTCTAATGACTGGCTAGTATTTCATCTTTGGGTCACCCTAATATAATTCTCTGTATTTTCCAGATTTTGTATGAGCACAAAAATAATAATAAATTTACTTTTAATAATAATATAATTTAATTATTATTATTTTAAGTAAAGCCTACTCCCAATGTGGGGCTTGAACCCACTGACCCCGAGATCAAAAGTCACATGCTCTACCAACTAAGCCAGCCAGGCACTTCCATAAATTATTTTTTATTTTTTTAAGATTTTATTTATTTATTTGTTAGAGAGAGAGAGAGAGCGAGTGCACAAGCAGGTGGAGGGGTTGAGGGAGAAGCAGACTCCCTACCAAGCAAGGAGCTTGATGTGGGACTCGATCCCAGGACCCCGGGGTCATGACCGGAGCTGAAGGCAGACACTTAACCAACTGAGCCACCCAGGCATCACCCACCAATTATTTTTTTTAAAGAGTTTATTTATTTATTTGACAGAGACACAGCAAGAGAGGGAAAACAAGCAGGGGGATGGGACAGGGAGAAGCAGGCTTCCCGCGGAGCAGGGAGCCCGATGCGGGGCTCAATCTCAGGACCCTGGGATCATGACCTGAGCCGAAGGCAGACACTTAACAACTGAGCCACGCAGGTGCCCAATTATTTTTTAATATAGAACATCCACCATCAAAATTTACATTTCAAATTTCATCAATAGAAAAATATTTAAAAGTTGTTAGAAAATTAAAAATTTTATGATATAAGTTTTCATATATTTTCTCATCAGAAATAGATTATTTAAACCTTACATCAAAATAAGCCACAGAATGAAAAGGTATGTTTTAAAATGTAACAAGAGAAAAGAAACTGAATTGCCGTTGATTTCATTGACTCTCAGATGCTGTTCATTTTAAAAATACACCATTATTTTATGTAGAAAAAAATACTGCCAATTAATTGGAAGATACCGCCCATTTTAGAGTTTTTAAAATGTGCAAAATGAGAGTCTTGGAATTGATTCAATAAGACAGGCCCTTTTTGACCTTTCATTAACCGGAATTCCTGTGTGGTCTTCCAGGCGCAACAGGATTCTACCACCAGCTGCCCCTTCCAACCATGGCGACAGGGGCAAATAATTCCTCTCATGTGGACTCTGAGTTCCGATATACCCTCTTCCCGATTGTTTACAGCATCATCTTTGTGCTGGGGATCATCGCCAACAGCTATGTGCTATGGGTCTTTGCCTGCCTGTACCCTTCCAAGAAACTCAACGAGATAAAGATCTTCATGGTGAACCTCACCGTGGCTGACCTGCTCTTCTTGGTCACCCTGCCCCTGTGGATCATCTACTACCACAACCAGGGCAACTGGATTCTCCCCGAATTCCTGTGCAACCTGGCTGGCTGCTTCTTCTTCATCAACACCTACTGCTCAGTGGCCTTCCTGGCTGTCATCACTTACAACCGTTTCCAGGCAGTGACCCAGCCCATCAAGACAGCTCAGGACACCACCCGCAAGCGTGGTTTCTCTGTGTCCCTGGTCATCTGGGTGGCCATTGTGGCTGCAGCATCCTACTTCTTCATCCTGGACTCCACCAACGTGGAGCCCAGTAAGACCGGCTCAGGCAACATCACACGTTGCTTTGAGCATTACGAGAAGGGCAGTGTGCCCGTCCTCATCATCCACATCTTCCTCGTGTTCAGTTTCTTCCTTGTATTTCTCATCATCTTCTTCTGCAACCTGGTCATCATCCGCAGGCTGCTCATGCAGCCAGTGCAGCTGCAGCACAATGCAGAGGTCAAGCGCCGCGCGCTGTGGATGGTCTGCACGGTCTTGGCTGTGTTCATCATATGCTTTGTGCCCCACCACATCGTGCAGCTGCCCTGGACCCTGGCTGAGCTGGGCTTCCAGAACAGCAGCTTCCACCAAGCCATCAACGATGCCCATCAGGTCACTCTCTGCCTTCTTAGCACCAACTGTGTTTTAGACCCCATCATCTACTGTTTCCTCACCAAGAAGTTTCGCAAGCACCTCATTGAAAAGTTCTATAGCATGCGCAGCAGCCAGAAATGCTCCCGGGCCACCTTGGAGACTGGCACTGATGTGGTCATGCCGCTCAACCACCTCCCTGTCCATTCCCTCAAAAAGTAGTCCCTGATTGTTGGGGCCAGGCCCGGAGGCTTCTCCTCCATGGACATCACAGACTGACCTGGGGGATGAAGGGGTCTCTGCTGTGGTCTGGGCATCTCCTCCCTGGGCACAAGTGGCTCTTTAAGTATGGAGGCTACTTCACCAAGGTGGGGGTGATGGCCAGGCCAGACTGCTGGGAAGTCCAGGACTTGAACGCGCTTCGTTGGCCACCTCGGGGCACATGCATAATAACCTTGGCTGGCAACCTCATCCTGAATACCTGAGTCTGATAGCTCTGCAGGGAATGTCAGGGCCCGGGGCAGACCTTGGGGACAGACTCCGAGCCACCCTGTTCACCCTACCAAGGCAGCTGCCCTGAGCCAGTATGGCCTGAAGTTTTGGTCAACAACTACCTTTGCTACTTTTATAAAGGCAGAGAAGAGGGTTTTGGGAAAGAGATCCTCCCCTGGTTGTGTGGTGGTGTCTCTGGGGGAGACTTTTGAGTTAGGATAGTGCCATCTTGTCTCCATTTAGAGGCACAGGATCTTTGTGACACTTCTTAGGGGACGTGGCTCAGTGGAGCCTTTTCCCACTCATCCAACAACCTGTCCTGAATGGTGCCAGAGAGGGTAAGACATGTTCAGGTCAAAGGCTGGGATGGGGAGGTTGTCTCCTGAGGCAAATGTATCTCTCTGCATAGGCCTTGGGTCAGCTCTGGGGGACTGGGAGAGACACAACTGCCACATCCGTCTGTCTCAGCAGTGGATCCTGGTGAATTACCTCCCGCTGGGCAGCTCCCTACTGTGGGTGGGCAGGGGCCCCGCAAAGCCAAATTGGGGGCATCTGCGGCACCACGATGCTCAGAGGTTTCATGAGAAAGGGCACTTAGGTGGAGAAGTACCTGTGTGTGGGTGAGGCCTCCAGAGTAGGAGGAGCCTGTCAGGTCTCATCTACCACCTAGCTTTCTGGGGCAGGGAGGTGGGGGGGGCGGGGGGGAGCCCTCCTAATTTAGCTTCCAGAAGGTGAGAGGAGCAGTTATAATCCCAAGGGCCAGGAGGCACTTTGAATTTGGGGTGCAGAAGAGAGGTGTCAGCTTCTCTTGAAGATCTCTAGATGCCTCCTTGTGATTTTCGGCAAATATATTCAGATGAGCTTCCTCACACCCTGAGCACCTGCGGTGTGAATCTGGCAGCCACAGACCCAGGGGCTTGGAGGAGACCACCCTGGAGCCCCGTGGTCCTTCTGAGACATCTTCCTCCCTTCCAGCCACAATCCCCACAGAGTGAGATTCTTGTTTCCTGTCTACTGGGCTGATTTTGATAAATGCTTCCCCATGGGCCAGTAACCTGCTTGGGTCTGGAATGGTAGCTGTGGGCTGAACTCAGCTGATGGTGACTAGGTGGAGAGTGCAGCAGACTTTGAGCTTTGGTGTCAGACAGACCCAGGTTCAAGTCTTGGCTTTGTCACTTCCTACCAAGGGACTGTGAGCTGAATTTCCTACCTTATAGGGTTGTTAGGAGTGGCGAATGCTGAGGCAGATACCTCTTGGTCAGGGTGATTGCTCATCCCAGATTCTCCCTTTTTCTGAGAATGCATTCCCCTTGATCCTCTGATAAGAGCTGAACGGATGAGATGCGGGCATGTAGCTCTAGGTGGGCCAGTCAGGTTCTCTCTCTCAGGAATAAGCAGCCAGATTCAGGGGTGCTATTTCAGGCTCTGCAGGTCACTAACCTGAAGACATACAAGTCTAGAGTTGTGACTGTGTGTGTGTGTGTGTCTATATGTGTGTGCCCCTCTATGTGTATGAGATGGGGCAGGGGAGAGTGGGTGACCTGCTCAGAGAGAAGATGGAAATGTGTAGAGCAAAGCAGAGACCAGACGGAGACCAGAAGTCTGGAGAGAGGAGGGCAGGTGCTTCCGGGGCCTGCTGCCCTCTTCCTCCAGGCCAGGCCCGCTCAAAGCCCAACATCTGCATTCCTTCCTTTGGGTTCTGTCAGGATGCATTCTCTTATTTTGTCTAAGCCTATTTGAATGACTCTCTATGACTTGCATCTTGTCTCTGAATAAGATGAATGCTTAGATGCTAAAGCACAGTGTTTCTTGCAGTTCAGTCATTTGTGTACACCCCCCATACACAATTTTTCAATACCCATGTGCCATCTGTATGTTTACTTAATAAATATTTTGCTCTAAATTGAGTCACTTTTTATCTCTTTACCCAAATGTCCATCAACTGGTGGATGGATAAAGAAGATGTGGTGTATATATACACAATGGAATATTACTCAGCCATCAAAAAGAACGAAATCTTGCCATTTGCAACATTGCGGATGGAGCTAGAGGGTATTGTGCTAAGTGAAATAAGTCAGAGAAAGACAAATACCATATAATTTCACTCATATGTGGACTTTAAGAAACAAAACAGATGAACATATGGGAAAGGAAAAGAAAAAGAGAGTGGGAAACAAATCATAAAAGACTCTTAATGGTAGAGAACAAACTGAGGGTTGATGGGGGGATGGGGAGTGGGCTAGACTGGTGATTGGATATTAAGGGGGGCACATGTTATGATGAGCACCGGTGTTGTATGTAAGTGATGATTCATGGAAATCTATTCCAGAAACCATATTGCACTGTATGTTAACTAACTAGAATTTAAATTAAAAGTTGAAAAGAAAAAAAATAAAACTTTATTTAAAAGGATGCTTTATAACTAAATTATAATGAAAACCAGTGGCACCTGCCACACATAAGAGATGAACATAAACATAAAATGTAACTATTTTTTAAAATATTTTATTTATTTATTTTGAGAGAGAGCGTGTGCGTGCACGCACACGCATGGGCTGGGGGAGGAGCAGAGGCAGAGGGAGAGAATCTCTAGCAGACTCCAGGCTGAGCACGGAGCCCCACTTGGGGCTTGATTCCAAGACCCTGAGATCATGACCTGAGTCAAAACCAAGAGTCTGGACGCTTAACTGACTGAGCCACCCAGGCGCCCCTGAGTTGTAATTCTTTTGATGAAACACCACCAATCAGGATTTCCAAGCCATCTTATGTGTCAAGAAGGCCTCATCCTGCCCTGACCTCAGTCTCACACCAGTGATCTCAGTTGGAGAATGTTGACTGAAGCAAGATGAGTCACAGACACAAGAGTGGTAAGTGTAGGGCACAGTTGACGAGAACTGAGCATATTTATGCTTGTTTTTACTCATCTATATTATATTTGTCCTTGAGACCTAAGGCTACAAACAGATAGAACAAAACCCTCTTGTAAAACACCTGGTTTTCGTGCAGACTTAGTTTTGCTGAAATACAAATCTTGCTTCCCTTGACAACCTGCCAGCAAGTCATCCTCCTACCTACCCAGTCACCCATCCATCCATCCATCCATCCATTCATCCAGCTATCCAAAAAAACACATAATGGAGTACCTATTTTGGTCCAATAACTATGCTAAGCACAGTTTTTATCTGTTGTCTTAATGAAACCTCACAGTCCCCACTGAAAGGTAGCTGATTTTATCCCCCTAGAAATGAATAAAATAAAGACTGACTGAATAAGACAGTGGCTGCCCCCTAGATACTTGGTATAAAAGGAAAGGGACCTCCTTTTTGTTGAGCCCAGATATTTGCTTGCCACTTTCATAAGTCTTATCTCAATGAGTCCTTATAACCTCTGTACAGAATTGATATCTTCATGCCCATTTTGCAGATGGGGAAATTGAGGCTCAGGGGGGTCCAGTGATTTATAAGAGCTAGTAAGTGGTGGAATAATCTTCAAACCCAGACCTGCCTTAGTGAATATGGGTCCCTGTCCTCCTTTCCTCCCCTCCATGTGACTGTACCCTTGCCCAAGTCCCTGTAAGCACTGTCCTGGCTTTGGTGTGTGCTGGGTTAGAGGTCTCTTGAGGGCAAGAGCAGCTGGTGAGGGCCGCACCTTGCTGTTTCTAATTTCCTCCTTGAAGGCTTTTGTGCTCCCCATGCAGGCTGAAGCCCCGGAAGCAAGGATTTTTTTTTGGGCTGAGACTCCTGGGGTCAATGAGGGGCTCTCCTGCCAGTGGATGCTGCACATGAATGCAGTGTTGCAAAGAACTCCTGAAACCAGAGTGTCATTGTCGCTAAAGCTAGAAGGTGCATTCAGCGGTCACTTGGATCCTGCCGTCTCTGTAAGAGGAGGGAAAGGGGTGAACGCTCAGAAGCTGCTGACCACTTACTGTGCACCAGGCCCTGTGAGGGGAACTTTACATCATCACCTAGGGATAAAACTGACTCTTCCCTCTGCCTGCATTACTCTTCTCCCCAGATATCTATCTTTCCTGCTCTCTCCCTCACCTCCATCAAGACTGCTCAAATGTCCCCCTCTCAGTGATGCCTGCCCTTGACCACGTTACTTAAAGCAGAAGCTTAAAGAATGAAGTGATTCTCGAGGCCACGCAGGAAACAGCTGGGTCTGTCTGGCTCCAAAGACCATGCGCTTTTCATTCTGGCACACTGACCTCCTCTGTAGACTCCTTTCGTGACATGGACCATGCCCGTCAGTCTGTTCTCTATATTTAGAGGTCTGGTTCTGTTTGTTGCTTGTCTATTCATCTTATTAAGATTCCACTGATGAGGGCACCTGGGTGGCTCAGTCGGTTAAGCGACTGCCTTCGGCTCAGGTCATGATCCTGGAGTCCCTGGATCGAGTCCCGCATCAGGCTCCCTGCTCGGCAGGGGGTCTGCTTCTCCCTCTGACCCTCCCCCCTCTCGTGCTCTCTGTCTCTCATTCTCTCTCTCGCAAATAAATAAAATGTTTAAAAAAAAAAAAAAGAAATACCTTAAAAAAAAAAAAAAGATTCCACTGATGAGTGGAATCATATGGTATTTGTCTTTCTCAGTCTGACTTACGTCACTTCGCATAATACCCTCTAGTTCCGCCCGTGTTGTTGCGAATGGCATGACCTCATCCTTTTTTACGGCTGAGTAAGCATAGATCCTTTTTCCACCTGTGTTTTGCCAGATGCCTCCCTTGTGCATTTTTCTGTCTGAATGCCTCTTATTTTCTGTTGCCACCATCCTTCAGTCTCACCCCCCACAACAGCTCAAGAGCGCTCAATAAGTATCTTTGACTTTATATGTATCCTTGGAAAATGTAGTGTTATCCTCTGTGTGTATTCATTTAGAATTTACACAAAAGGCACAATTTACCTAGGTTGGGCTATGGACCTCCTTCTGTGTCTCCTAGTTGTCCCACTCATTTAACCGTGGTGAAGCGAGCACATAGGGTTCACTGTTGCAAACATCTGCCTGGCCCTCCCTCGTGTGCGTCTCCGTTTGACTTACCTGTTCCCCTGGCGATGGACAGTTGGGTTGTCTTCTGCTCCCTTTTCTATAAACAATGCTGTGAGGAGATCCTTCCAGATGCTCCCCTATGGACCAATGAGAATTTCTCTGGGATGAATACCCAGGTGTGACATTCCTAGGGCAGAGGCTTCACTCCTACGTAAGACTTAGACCTGCCAAATCACTTCTGGAACAGCTGCACTGGTCTACACTCGCACTCGGAGTTACAGGAGAGTTTCTATGTCTCTCAGTCCCCACCCATACTTGGCATTGTTCCACTTTCAAATTGTTGGTAGGTATTAAGTAAAATATTGTTTTTGGTTTGAATTTCTCTCAGACCATTAGTGGGTTGGTAATCAAGTACTCATTAGCCTTTTGAGTTGGGATTCATACCATTCCGACTCCAAAGCCTGCCCGGTATCACATAGTGATCATTAAAGTGGCCTCTTAGTGGGGCCACGTTGCCAGGGTTCAGTTTCTGGCTTCACCTGGTCTGTGATATTCACCTCTCTGGACCTCTGTTTCCTCACTGTAAAATGGGAATAATTTTATTGTTGACATAATAGGATGGTTTCACGGATTTAAAATTTCTTAGAATAGTGCCCAGCATGGAATAAGTACTTGCAAATGTCATGTCTTGTCTGGATAGATTGTGTCATTCTTCACGCAGGCTTTCTGTTCATTCCAGCTCATAGTGTTTCCCCACCCCTGCTCATAAAGTTCATATTGTGTAACCCTGAATTTTCCTCAGAAATGTGAAACCATAAAAGAGAAAACAGAATGTAACTAGTCTGGCTTTCTTATTTAACTTCCCAGGTCATTCTAAAGGACTTTCAGAGAATGTTTTAAGAATTGTCACATGCATGAGTCAGGGGATTTTGGCATTCAGAAGGAAGTGATGGGGCGCCTGGGTGGCTCAGTTGGTTAAGCGACTGCCTTCGGCTCAGGTCATGATCCCGGAGTCCCAGGATCGAGTCCCGCATCGGGCTCCCTGCTCGGCAGGGAGTCTGCTTCGTCCTCTGACCCTATCCCCTCTCAGGTGTTCTCTCTCTCTCATTCTCTCTCTCTCAAATGAATAAATAAAATCTTTAAAAAAAAAAAAAAAGAAGGAAGTGATGATTCAGTTCCTTAAAAGAAAAGGTGGGTAATCAAAGCACACTATTAACAGAGTTAAAAGGCAAACCACTGAATGAGAGAAATTGTCTGCAAACCATATATCTGACAGGGGATTTATATGCAGAATATAGAAAGAGCTCCTAAAACTCAACAATAAAAAACTAAAACTCAATTTAAAAAATGGGCAAAGGACTGAACAGACATTTTTCCAAAGAACACATACCGATGGCCAACAGGCACACAAAAATATGCTCAACATCACTAATCATTAGGGAAATGCAAATCAAAGCCACAGTGAGCTGAAAACAGGAAACAACAAGAGCGGACAAGGCACTTAGGTGCGTTGCTGGGAAACGGAAAATGGTGCAGCTACCATGAAAAACGGTAGGCAGTTCCTCAAAAACTTAAACACGGAGTGACCACGTGACCCAGTAATTCCAGCTCTGTCCAATTCTACTCCAAAGAATTGAAAGCAAGGACTCTAACCTTAAGGTTCACAGCAGCAGTATTCACGACAGCCAAAGGTGGGGGCAACCCAGGGGTCCATGAGGGATGAATGGGTAAACAAAAGGTGGTATATACTTGCAATTGAATATTACTCAGCCTTAGAAGGGAAGGAAATTCTGACACATGCTACAGTCTGAATGAACCTTGAAGACATTATGATAAATGAGAGAAGCCAGACACAAAGGACAGATGATTCCACATAGAGGAGGAGCCTAGAGCAGTCAAATTCACAGAGACAGGATGTGGAGTGGTGAGCGCCACGGCTGAAGAGGCCAGGAATATGGAAAGTTATTGTGTAACAGGTATGGCGTTTCAGTTGGGGAGCTGAGAAAGTTCTACAGATGGATGGTGTGGATGGTTTACAACAATATGAATATACTTAATGCCACTGAAGTGAATACTTAAACTGAAATGGTAACTTTTATGGTACCAGACACACACACACACACACACACACACACCCTTTTAAACAAAGGGAGGACAGGGTAGGAAGAAGTGGGGTGAGAAGGGAGAAACTCTGACTCCCGAAGGATCCTTTTTTCAGGGTGAGCCCACCAGGTTCAAGGTGGTGCTGCCTACCATTGATTCAATCAACTCTCCTTGAGCTGCTGTGTGTGGGAGAGCTTAGTCCCTCAAACTCTGCACCCATGTGATGTCTTTGGTGTGTGTGGCTGTCTGAGGCTACCCGGCCCAGTGAAAAGAGAATGGGCATCTTTCCTTCATTTCACCAATGTTTAAAGATTCCTTGTCAATAGGTAGCACTCCGCCATGGGCTGTGAGAACAAGTCAAAAAAAAAAAAAAGTCTCTGTCTTCACACTTCAGCAAGTGGCAGATTTGTTAAAAATACAACAGAGCCAGGCGCCTGGGTGGCTCAGTTGGTTGGGCGACTGCCTTCGGCTCAGGTCATGATCCTGGAGTCCCGGGATCGAGTCCCGCATCGGGCTCCCTGCTCGGCGGGGAGTCTGCTTCTCCCTCTGACCTTCCTCCCTCTCATGCTCTCTGTCTCATTCTCTCTCTCAAATAAATAAATAAAATCTTAAAAAAAAAAAATGCAACAGAGCCATATGTCTGCTGTTCAATGGCTGCCACGGCCGGTTGTCATGTTGGTGGCTTGAAATCAGCCCGTTGGGAGAACTTCTACCACAGAAATGAGCGGATGCTACAAATCTTTTGAACCTCAGCTCCGTCACTGGCTCTGTGATCCTGGGCGAATCACCTCGCCAGCCTTAGTTCCTTTCTCTGTAAAAGGAATTTGATAAATACCAGTTCCTTTCTCTTCCCTTTCCTTGCAAGAGGGTAATTAGACACTTAGGATGGGGCGTTGGTTGTTCCCTGGATGACAGGGAGCCTGTGTAGCCCCAGATAACTGCTGATACCCCTCCCCACCTCTCCTCAGTTGGCAGCAATGTTGCCCCGGGCTGGTGTCCAGAAAGAACTCCACAGGCGCTTATTATGTACCCTGGGGAGAGGAAGGGGAAGACTTGAAGGGAAGGAGGTAGTTACTGCTCTCCACAGCTCATTGTTTCTCCTCGACCTTATGACCTGATAGTGGCTCCTCACATTTTGGATGTTTCACAACAAAGGAAACTCAGCTCCAGCAGCCGGCAAGATTCAGTCAGCAAGGCAAGACGCGGAACGGGGAAGGACGTGGGCCTCGGAGTTGGAGCTAGATTTGTCTCCCAGGGCTGTCATCACTGGGCGTTTGGTGTGAATGCCTATCTCCGAGCCTCAGTTTTCCCACCTGTCAAAATGAAGATCATGACAGCGACTGCACAGATGTGTTAGAAGTCTCAAGGGAGGTGATGGAGAGAAAACCATTTGTAATCTGTCAGGGGCCGTTATGTGTGTCAGCAGATGTGAGCGGCAATATTGCCGGTTGCCTAATATCTCTTCTCGCCCTCTTCCAAATTGGAATAACCCCTATTTTAGTTGGAGTAACAAAGCATCTAGCTTAGAGATGACATTTCCTTACAGTGAGGGGTAGCCTTGTGACTAAAGTCTGGCCAACGAGATATGAAGTGAGAATTGCTAGATCTGGAAATGCTTCTTCAAGAGAGTTGACTCAGTTCAGTGATCCCCTCTGGCCTTTCCCTGATTTTTTCCTTCTTGTCTGGAATTTGGTGCTGCAGCAGCATCTTTGACCTTGAAGGGACCTTGAAAATAGAAACTATTGGGGCGCCTGGGTGGCTCAGTCGGTTAAGCGGCTGCCTTCGGCTCAGGTCATGGTCCCAGGGTCCTGGGATCGAGTCCCACGTTGGGCTCCCTGCTCAGTGGGGAGCCTGCTCCTCCCTCTCTCACTGCCTGCCGCTCCCCCTGCTTGTGCTCGCTCTCTCTGTCAAATAAATAAATTCTTAAAAAAAAAAAGAGAAAAGAAAATAGAAACTATTTGCTGTGATGGTAGAAAGAATGATATAAGGAGCCTGGGGCCATGATATTGGTGGGGTACTATTCCCACTGTCTATTGCCTACCTCTGGACCACTTTTATGGGAGAAAGAAAGAAAATTCTCTCTTGTTTAAGTCTCTGTTATTTGGGTTTTCTTTCTATGCAACTGAATCTAACCTATCCGAATATTGCCTGATGGAGCATGGAAGACATAAATGGAGAGGAGCTGCCTCTTATTGAGCACCTGCTATGGGCTCATATGATTTACACTTTTACATAGTTTCAGTCTTCTTACTTGACTTCTCAGAAGCATTGGACTCTGTTGACCACTTCCTTCTCAAAACTCTCTCATCCCCTGACTTCTGTGACCTCACATTTTTCCTGGTGTTTGTGGAGTCTCTTTTAAAAAATTTTTATTTGAGTATAGTCGATACACACTGTTATATTAGTTTCAGGGGTACAACTTAGTGATTTGATAAGTTTATACATCATGCTGTGCTCACCATAAGTGTAGCTCCCGTCTGTCCTGTTATGTTGCTTCTACAGGATCATTGACTGTGTTCCTTATGCTGTGCCTTTTATTCCAGTGGTTTATTTATTCCGTAACTGAAAGCCCGTATCTACCACTCCCCTTCACCCATTTTGCCCACCCCCCACCCCTCTGGCAACTATTAGTTTTTTCTATTTAGAGGTCCGATATGCTTTTTGTTTATTTATTCATTAGGTTTTGGTGTTTTGATTCCACTCATTGTGGAATCAAATTCCATGATGAGGAGAATCATATGGTATTTGTCTTTCTCAGTCTGACTTATTTCACTTAGCATAACATCCCCTAGGTCCATCCATGTTGTCTCAAATGGCATGATCTCATTCTTTTTTATGGCTATGTAATATTCCATCACATATATATGATGGGGTTTCTCTTGATTATCAAGTGACAGAAATCTTGACTTATGTGGGACAGAGGCACAGAGAGAGGGTCTGCTTCTTATTTCTCTAGTCTTGTCTTCCATCAACTTTCTGTTGGTCTTTTACCTTTTTTCCTTTCTTCAAACTGGCCATGTTCCCTCTCATTGTTTAATCATGGATATTCTGTGCAGTCTGGTGGATTACCTGTAACTCAACCCTCATATCCCCATAGACCCTTTTTCAGTTTCCTAGACTAGATCATATTATTATACATTTTTAAAGAGCAGGTTCCTGCTGAGCAAGGAGCCCAATGCAGGACTTGATTCCAGGACCCTAGGATCATGACCTGAGCCGAAGGCAGACACTTAACCCATTGAGCCACCCAGATGTCCCTGGACTAGATCATATTCTCCCATTATAAACTCTCATTGCATTCCATTACAAACATTATAGATGGTATATTTCATCTAGGTAGTGCTAACACAATTCTAATTTTCTATTTACTTGTGTACACATTTGATTAATACTTGTTCTCCCCAACACAACCACTACTAGTTTGTAAGCTCCAGGGGAGCAAGGGCCTTGTCTGTGTCTGTTCACCATTAAATCCCTAGCACCTTGTTCTGTAGGCATCTAATGTCTCTTAAAACCATGGATGCACATGCTCATTTTTGGATCTGGACACCAAGGCTCGTCCCAAGGTCATACAAGCAGCAGGGGGGTAGACTGCAAATCGGCCTCCTAAAACTGCCTTCTCCTTTTTTTCACTCTACTGTTCTCTGAGATGGGCAAAGGATTGGGATCGAACCACTTCTGGGTGTGCAGCTCTAGAAACCTTATCTGATTCCTGAAGTCTTTGGGAAGGGATCTGAAAAGAATGACAGTTTGCCTGACCTTTCAGCGGTGGGAGGAAGTTCTCCTTTTCCTTTTCTCTCATTTACATCTCTCTTTCTTTTCTTCCTCTTTCCCATCTCCCTCCTTCTCTTCCTTTCTTCCTTCCTACTTTCTAAGATATGCCCAAAGTTCCTGCTCACTGCCAGACCCTGTTCTGGAAGATGGTGACATAGAGATGAATCAACCACAGTCTCTCTCCTCAAAGTGCTCAAAATCTAGTCTGTTAGAGTTCTAGGTCAAGTCAGTAAATTTTAACCCAATATGCTTTCCTCCTCGCTAAAATGGGCATTATGCTTA